ATCATTTTCCATAAAAAGTGATCATCTTTTTGTTGGGGTCCAATAAAATCATGTTTTTGGCTTGAGTCACTCACTTCCTTTAACCATCTTCTTCCTTTTTTGCTTTCAATTTTTATTTTCCATTTTTTTAAATTTTTTAGGGTTGCCCCCTATAGAGTAGTTTGACTTTTATCTTATCTTGCCCCCCTCGTAAAATTATAGATGTTCAATAGGACCGCAACACTAGGTTGAAAGTCTTGATTGTTTTTGGGCCTAAAAATCAGGTAAACCCTTCAAGAACAATCTTGGCATGAACTTGCTTTATGTAAGCCGCCTTTCATGCTCATGACCATATCATGATAGACAATTTCGGCAACCCTAGAGGTAAAAATTATCCTATGATCTATATATGACTTAAGTTATTATTTCTTGTTCATGCGCGGCAGACTGTTATACTTAAATACCATTTCTAGCTAGATGGAAATTATACTAATTCTTGACAGCTTCTGTCACCTTTTTACATGGCATAGATTAGTGTGTTCCTTGGCCCTCGTCACTAGATTAGCCAAAAAATGCTATATCGTCTACTTGGGTTGAGTAATTGCAATATCATGGGGCTTCAATCCATTCCCCTAAGAGCGGCTAAAGCTTTGTGTTTATGAATAAGGCTTAATTCGACACAGAACTCGACAATGCAAGGTTGTTTCTTCTCTCACATGGAAGGCAATCTTCATTTATCTTCATCAATGGAGATTCCCAGTTCAGATCATCTAATTCTTGTGCTTTTAAATTTGAACGCTAATGAATCTAGAGATGAATCTTGGAATTTTCATTTTACCATCTTGGCATGCTTATTGTCATCTTCAACTCCAAGTTCCCGACTTTGATTCTCAAACGAGATAGGAACCATTCTTCAAAGACTTCTAAGAAGTTGGGCGATCATATACCCATCCTTTGCTAGTAACCAAGATCGAGTTAAGGGGAAAATAATTCCGGTTGATGATTGTAGGTGGTCTCTAATAGCGGGGCACTTGCCGGGGCGGACCGATAATGAGATCAAGAACTATTGGAACTCCCATTTGAGCCGGAAAATTTACAGCGTCGCACGGCCGTCGACGTCATCAAGGATCGTGCCCTCAGTACCCACCCCCATGAATGCCGTCAAGATAGCTGGCACGGGCAAGAGGAGAGGCAGGACAAGCAGGTCAAGCATGAGAAAGAGCAGCTTCACATCAATGTTACTGGAGAGGCCCAACCACAGTACTGTCCCTAAAAGTGAGAAAGGCAAAGAAGCACAAGCACCCATTAAAGGGCAAGTTGGAGAGAGCCAAATCATGAGCTCAGAGCCCTCATGGGTCCCAAACAAGAAAACAGCAGTCCATGAGAGTAACAAAGATATTGCTCATGGCTCTCGTATCGACAAGGGCACTGGGCTCAATAATGAAGAAGCGGCAGAGACCAAGGGGCTGTTGTTGGGACCATGTGAGTGGTTAGACAGTGAAATAATGAGACTTGATTGTTTGCTGCAGATTGAGGATGTTGGTGATCTGAAGTTGGAGGGTGAGAATGGGGTGGTGGGCCGCTATGAGGAGAGTGAGAACGAGGTTGCGGTGATGGAGAAGTTGATACCGGTGACGGAGGAGACAGAGAGCAGCATTTGGAGCTCAAAATCGAATGCTGAGAGCAGTACGGGGGAGTGGTACGTTTCGTCTTCGTCAATGAACAACAATAAGCACAATAATGACTCTGGGTTTGGTGAATGGTTCGATTGGGATCGGGCAGGCGGAGTCGGCTGTGGCAATAATCAGTGGGACAATGAAGATAAAATGTTGTCCTGGTTATGGGACAGCGGCAACGGTGAAGCAGAAAACGCCAGTGATAATGCCGTAGCGATGAAAAGCAAGACACTTATGTGACCGAGTACAAGAAGAATGATAAGGCTTTGCTACTGAAAGGGTTTCCAGGATTTCACTTTAAGGTCAAGAATGTCTACGAGGTTCATCACCGTAATCATTTGGAAAATTGCTCCCCGATCACTCCGAAAATCACTCCATCTGATTCCTAATGTGTTACTCATCAAATAATGAAACTGATCATATATTCTTCTTTCATCTATCTATTCCAGATTAGGATGATGCATAGGAAATGAAGTTGTAATCTTCGGATGCAGAGGAAATGATTTTTAAGTGCTTGAAATTGTATGATTCGAATATTCCCCCTGCCAACAATAATGAGTTGATCTTGAAGGCACCTTCAATGGAGCTTAATTGTGAAACAAGGCGACGACTAAGTTCGCAGTGAGTAGCGGGCAATGGATTGCAATAGTAAAGTTGGTTCTGAAACCTAGCTCAACTAATGGAAATGACTAAGGCCAACCAATTGGCTAGTGAAGCTTACCATGCATCTATTTCCGCTTTGAGACCTTACGTCGTGTATCGTTCTTCTTTTAGTCTCAATGCCTTTCACCATGCACCTATTTTCTGACTACTTTTACCATTGTACAAACTCCACATCAAGAATATGAACAAAAGTAAGATTGGGTGTCCTCTTTATATAGCCGAAGCAAGATGCTCAAACGGGCGAAAATTTCCAAAGAATAGTCTGTCACAAAAACAGTTCTAACAACAGAACATCATGGTGAAGGTACAAAAATGGCTCGTGTATCATAAAACTGAAGCATCAAACCAGATAACCTCCCGCTTTTGCAATCAGAGGGTTCCTTTCATGCGAACCAATATTAAGTGGGATACAATTCTGAGCTGAATGGTCACGGTAGAATGTGGAGGTTCTTTCCTAGTGGCTGCTTCTGTCTCTTCGAGGGCGAACTATAGCCGTGCCATGAACAGGGTTCCTCAGAAGTTGTCAAAAAGACAAGCCAATTTACCAGTATTAACAGGTGGAGAATGAACTCAAAGATCATAAGCCCTGCGCGCCTCATTGCAGAACATCAGCAATTGCTTCGTCTATCAAGGAGCGGAGTATATCACCCTCGATCTCTAGCCCAATTCCGAAAACCTCAGCTTCAAAGTCCCGCCATTTCCCATCCGGACCGCTCATATCCTTGTCCACAAGATCATCCACCATAGAGTCCCCCGAGCCTCTCCAACCTAGAACCTCTTTACACACATCTTCAGCTAGCCGCTCATTTCTCACCATCGCCAAGCCTTTAGACCATTTTCTGCATCCACCACCTACACAACGCCTACATCTTGAATCCATACATTCACTGATGCAATCAAACAGTACCTTTCTTGTTAGCCTAGAATCAGTGAGATCATCACTTTCCATAAAGCCCTTCCGAGTTTCTAACTGTTCAAAGAGATGTGGGTTTATGATCTCACGCGCTCGACCCAAAGCGAAGTCTTTAAACATTAACTCTACATTACACAGAATCTCCTTCACATATTCTAGTTCCCAATCATTTGAAGCTGAAAAAATGGTAGAGATTTCAGCAGTCGCGTGCCTCCTCGCAACTGTTCTTCCTGTTGACAGAGAAGAAGCCGAATCTGATAAGTCTATATCAACTTCTGTTGAATGTGATTTTCTGGAAAAGCTCAACCCTAGAATTTCTGCAGCTTGAGAAGATGGCTGCTTGGTCCCTGATATTAATTGCCATTTGATTCATGTTATTTACAATTTGTAAATGGAGAAAGACAATGTATAGTAAGTTGTTCATTAGGATGAGATTTTTATTACCTTCCGTATTAGTACTATCCATGCTGTCAGAAGAGAAGCAACTTTCAGCAGAGAAAGATGGTTCAAGAACAGAGACGGGACTAGGATGCCTGTAGTCAAGCAATTGTTTGGCTTTTGTAGCAAGGTCCTCTTTCTCAACAACTCCCTGAAAATGATTACAATATATGTTGATTAGCACCAGAAGTAACAAATGCTACCGAGAATTGCCATACAGATGGAGATTTTGGCACATCATCTGAATCCAAAATGTTCAAAAAGATATTTTGTGCAGATCCAGATTGCCAACACAAACAAAAAACACATATATGACAACATCCTGGCTTGTGGCCCTTTTCATAAAGGGATCTCTACTTTTTTCTTCTTTGTTAGAGCTAAGAAGTTTCTACTTTGAAAAACAAATAGAAACCTCTTCTCGTCATTCATTTGAAACAAGGTTGTACTTGCCATTGATATATACCCCGTTATTGATTCAAAAGTACGCCGCGGACAGTTCAGTGAGTACTCTCTATCAAGACATACCAAAATACAGTAGTCATTCAAATGAAACAAATAACTGCAACTGAGTTGCTGCGGGTCATCTACTTAAAATTAAAAGGTCATCCAGGTACTGACAAAAGATGTATAAACAATCGGACTGTCTCCTGGAAGAACGATCAACTACTTCCTTTGGTTCTTAATTATAAGGTTGTTATATTTCCTGTGTCTATGAACCCTTAATAGTATGTTTTGGTTAAGAGTTGCATTTTCAGAGAATTCTAAATATGCTTCCCATTATAAGAAATAGGGCGAAGAAAAGCATATACCTGAAAATCATGGTTAAATCTGCACGGAAGTTGATTAGCGGCAAAAGGATCATTCCGGTACTCGCTGCCTAATCTACTGCTAAAGAGCACAGCTTGGTCACTCTTGTCACATGACCTCAGTATTGAGCAAACTGCATTGTGTGTGGGTGCTGAATCTTGAAATGTCGATGCCGAACTAGAAGGTGAATCTACAATGGTAGAATCGTGTGAAGATGACCCAACCTCGAAAGATAGCTCACGTAACTTCTGCTCCAGAAGTTTGCTCAGAGCATCACTGCCTACCATGTTGTAACCTTGAGAAGCTGATTTCATGCCGTCTGACTGGGAGAAGATCCTCCCACCCAGATAATCTGAGTTTTTCTGTTTAGACTGGCCTGAGGGCTCAGAGCCACCCATAGATCGTGCCAAAGGTGCCGTGAAAGTAAAAGAAATGACATCCATGCCATTCTTCCTACTTTCTTCAGCCCAGTTGGAGGGCAATTGTAAAGTTGGATGTGATTGCACCGCCTTCCTGTTTTTGTCTATGGACACATCATGTACTGCACGAGTTTTCTCGAAATGAACTTCCCCATCTATTGACCTTTTTTTCCTTGGGAAGTACTTTGTATTAGACTGCGAATTGTCCTTTTCACTGCTGATCACATCCAACTTCCTTGATCCGGCTTTGGAGCTTCCAACCAATTTACAAGCTGTCTTTTGCCGTCCAGCAGAATCCCCTGATGATGCTCTTTTACCTTGCGAATTCTGCACCAAGGACTTTGAGGGAAGCCTTTCTTTTTCTGATAAGCAATTCTGTTTCTGATTATTCTGCCTTAGAATTCCAGAAGCGCTATGCAGAGGAGATTTCTTCTGGGAATTCTTCTGTGTACGTGGTTGGCTTCTGAAGGGCTGGGTTAACTTATTATCGCTGAGCTCCTGCTGGCGGACCAGACTTCTGTCAACTGAAGATAACCCTTCTCTGCGTTGAACGTTGACTTTTGCTTGGATCGCAAGTGAAACAGACTTTCCTTTACTCTTAGAACTGGAAGAAGCATCTTCTTTGTCAGGAGGACCTCGGTAAGAAGATGTGTCTACTCCATTCCAGCTTTTGTTGAGAGAATGTCCTTTAAGAAACCTGGCAGCATTTGACTCAGCTGGCCTTTGAAGAACTTCAACATGTGTGAATGTTCTCTGAGAAACATCGACTTTCTCTTTCATATCTCGGACTTTAAGTGGTACTGAAGACCGGTCTATCAGAGATATTTTTTTCGCAATCTCTTCATTCTCTTTGGCATGCCTAATTTTCATATAACCGGAAGAGGAATCAAGCATTGGCATTTTACTCTTCATGGTTAATTGAGCCCTGGGTTCAGAGGAACCAAAAATGGGCGTCTTGCCTTTCATTGATTGAGGCCCAGGCTCAAGAATTTTGGCGGCAGCTTCCATTATGTGAGCAGCATCCCTGCTTGGAACGAATCCAGGGCTCTTGATAGGAGACAAAAGCCTGTGTTGGGTAATAGGTATAGATTTAGCTGACTTTGGCGGCAAAACTTCTGTCTGGAACTTCTCGATCGGCCTATTTACAATCCTCTGAGTCTGAGGCGGCTTCCACTCCACATTACTCCGGACAGGACCCTCTATTTTGTTTGCTAGATTTTCAGAATACATCATCTGGTAGTTAGGAGGATAGTCGAGATTTCTCCCGTAACGTTGGGAATCGCGGAGAGATTGAGTGTCAAAAAATGGGGAGGAGTATGGTTCTGAAGAATTAGTTGGCATCGAGTCTAATCCCATAAGCCTGGCTACTACATTAGGAGCCTTGCCTCCGTATCCTTCGTCATCAGTAACTGATGAAGCACAACTATAGTCACTATACCCTTTGGCACTAGACCCCATCCCAGTTTCATCCTCATCTACCTGCAAACACAAATGACATTAAAATGTATGAGTTTATATCATATCATAAATCAAGTAATTAAACGGAACTTGATGATGTCAAAGCTGTGTAATTACCAGGAAGACGCGTGTCGTAGGCAAATTTCCTTCCCTTCTCTTTCCCTGCTTGGTGTTGTGCTCTGTGTGAAGAGATGGTAAAAAGGGAATTTGTGATAAGTAATGAGGTATGAGAACACAACTAGAAACTGTGACTAGACAAATGCACAAATATCCTAATTCCCAATATCTGCACAAAGGAGCAAATCTGTACCTGGCAGCTCGGACCTGCTCGAGAATAATTTCTTACGAGATTTTGCTTTCCAGTCAAAGAGCTGGAAGAAACCTCCTACATATCCTCCACCTTTTGAACCATCTTTATCAATACCCATTTTCGTGGATCAAGACTGCAAAAGAATCTTGAAGTGAAACTTCTATGGACTACCAAGATTGATCCATGGTATGATCGAAACGAATGCCACTCTTTCCTTCACTCAAAATGCAGTTTCAAAGTAATTAGTCAGCATGATATGGTGATGTGCGATAACTATCAGAATCTCTAGAGATTTCGATCATGCGGCAACACAACACCAACTTATGGAATGAACAAGCCATTATCCAAGACGGTACTCTTGAGTTCAATATGCTATGCCGTTTTATTTAAAAAGCCTAAAAAACCTTCCGGTAAATTAATCAGTGAAAGGAAAACAACACTCAAACATCAAGTAAAGAAGCCTCGGTAATCAGCATAGATCACAAAATATAGCAGCGAGAATGTTGATGTAAATGTAATAGACTAATGGTCAAACCAAAACTCTGACATCAGCATTCCGAGATTTAACTTTCATCTACTCCTGTGAATATTCTCCTGATAAGTGACAACTCCAACATTCCACACAAGAAGGAAGAAGCCACTAAACTTCTAGCTGCAGGACTCAAGTTCCGAACTTGCACGAGACAAACGAAACATGAATGCACAAGATCTGAACTTCCAATAGACAAACAATTACAGGATGAAAACCGCAATTCGAAATTCTACTTTTTTGCCACTTCCACAAATTGCCCAGCAAGAAAGGTCAGCGAAATATGGTAACAAGAAGCACAATAAGCACAAAGTGGGAGGAAAAGGCAATGTAGCATCCCTCTCCAAGCAAATCAAGGCAAGGCAAAGCAGAAACCGACAACGACAAAAGATGTTCACCGAAACCACGAAAAGAGGAGGACCCAGAATCGCAACGAGCTCGAAATGAAGCAATGAGATGCCCATCTCCAAGCGGATCAAGTCAAGAACCACAAGCGGGGACTTGATCAAACCCACAAAGTACCGGATGATCACCAAAACAAAAACAAAAACAAAAAAAGGGAGGAGGACCCAGAATTATTCCGCACTTCCATCGCGATGACGATGACGACGAGTCCCGGAAGCAAACAAAGAGGGTACAGAACTCACCGGGTTTTCGCGCTGCGACGGCCGGAGATCAGCTGATTTCCGGGCAGGGCACGCGCATCTCCCGGGCGAGGGAGAACGGGAAAGTAAAAGGAGGAAGCGGTGAAGATATCGGGAGAGATCTCTGGGGTCAGACAAGTTGAATGCTCTGCTCTGTTGTGACGAGGAGGATGTTTGAGGGAGAGACAGAGAGAGACTGAGGGAGGGGAGGGGTCTTCTTCTTCTTCTTCTTCTTCTTCTTTCTTGCTCAGTTCAAAAGCATTTAATGGAAGAGAGAGAGAGAGAGGAGAGGAGAGAGAGAGAGAGAGAGAGAGATGCAGGGGAATTATTGTTGGCTATATTATTTTTATTTATTTTTTAAAAAGGTGGTGGTGGATTTGTAACGTCTCTTTTTCCTGGGTTCAAAGTGGGAGGAGGAGGAGGAGGAGGAGTAGGAGGGATGGAGGATTCAAATTCCGAACAGGGAGAGGAGTGGCATTTCACACGTGGGGGATTGGGTGGGGGAGGGGGGGTGTTTCGTCGTTTGATAGCGTCACCGCGGACGGTAACGCTCCGCCCCGGACAGTCGCTCTAGGCCATCGACACGTGGGCCGTTTGGTTTGAACGGTGCGCCCTGCTTTCGGGGATTTTCACGAGACGTTCTGCCCCGAAAGTTTCGGAACGGAAACCATCCGGGTTGCAGAAACGCCCTCCCAAAAATGATGACGGCACGAAATTTCTATTTTCGAAATAGAAATTCGTTTGATAGGTTAACTTTTGGGATCCTATAAGCTTACCTTTCCACTATTCTTGATTATTCTAGTGATTGAACTTGAGAAAAATGAAATTTATCAAAGGTAAGGTTTTTAGTTCGATATTTTGAAAATCAATTTCAAAATTTGACCTACAAAATGTTAATGTTGCGATATGTACGTTGTTGGCCATTGTGGTACCAGCATGACATCAAATTTACAATTGTTTGTGATGGTTGATGTGGTGGTGAAGTAACTCGAGATGAAATTTGAAAGTTTGATGAACATGAAAAAGTTTAATGTTGTTTAGGCTAATCTTTTTGATTTATAATAGTAGGAGCTACTTTTGCACGCGGTCCCTCCAATCTTTCCACGCTTCATGTTGGAATGACAATTCACCTTCTATAGTCTGATCTTCAAGTTGTTCAATTTCTACTGATCCGTCCAAGCCTTAACAATCTCACGTTCTTCAGTTTGTTCACCTTCTACACGGGACGTCCTTTACGTCTAATACTTGTTCATCTTATGTAAAGTATCATTATAATTTTTGTTTTCATTAAAATCTTGTCATCATGATCATTTATATTTTCTTTTCTGGTAATTTATTTATGCCCCCATCAACCTATCAACCGACAATTCCAAGCCAATGCCATGCCAATTGGTGGGAAATAAAGAATTGAGAGTGCAAAAATCGATAGTTATCGATGTCCTTAAGGATTGGTTTCTTTTCTAAACTATCGTTTAGTATTCTGCAACTTCTTATCAGGTTAATTATAAACATCAGCGTCAGGTTTCCTAAAACTCGCATCTTTTTATTCAGTGTCTGTCAAAACGTGCTTCCCACGCATGAAAACTTTTACAAGAGAAAGATCACACTTGGCCCCACATGCACCTTATGCTCACAAGCCCCCGAAACTGTCGAGCACCTATTCCTCCTTTGCTGCTAAATTACCTGGATGGACAAATGGCTAATGGAGGTGTTCAGCTCAAATTGGGACTCGCCTTCGAGAGAGTTGGTCGCCGAAGTACTATGGCAGTATGGAAAGCCAAGAATGCCTGAATCTTCCAAGACCGCATACCCGACCCGACCGTGATTGCTGAGACAGCCCTTTCCCAGCACAAAGAACTATGTGAGGTGGAGCCCATGTTCAGGAAAATGGAGCAAGACCAGAATTAGCTCACCTGAACAATGGATGCCATCGGCCTGAGGAACGTTCAAACTCAACACCGGCGGCTCATGGGTGGAAGGAGCATCGGACGGATCCGTGGCCGCAAATTTATCGCGATTCAAGTGGAGCTATGGTCGCGGGCTTTGCCAATTCAGTCCACGCAGCTTTAGCTTTGACCGCCAATTCGTACTTGCTAGGGAAGCCGGACCAGTTCCTGCTGCCAGACACGAGCGGGGAAGTGAAGACAGACTGTGGATTTGTCGCAGAGCTCATCTCGGACAAGGAAGAAAAGCCTATGGGCCCTGCGTCCGCTAGTGGAAGATTGTGAGCCTTGCTCTTGGCCCAACTGAAGTCCGTTCGAGCCGCTCATTGCTCCCCGCGAGGCCAACTCCCTTATAGACTGAGGGCGCGTTTGGCAATTATTTTGCTCTCGAAAGTTGATTCTACTCAGAAATAATTTTTTTTTATTCTATGCCCAAGAACAATTTCTAAGCATTTGAAAGTGTATGGTAACTGCCCATTATTTCTATTCTTGGAATAGAAAAATAACATAAATACATTTGGTAACTACACAAATTTTCTTTTTATTAATAATATTTTGATTTTTTTTCTTTTTTTTCTTTTTTTTTCTTCCCCTTCCCCTTCCTTGGCCATGGCCGGTCGCTGGCGCTAGCGACCGGCCACAGGCGAGGGCATCGCAACCCTTGTCGGTCACAGGCGAGGGCCACCCTCGCTGGCGACAACGAGGGCTGGACCCTCGCCGCCTGTGAGAGGGCGGCTCGCAGCATGGGCGAGGGCGGCGGCAAGGGTCGCCCAGGCCAGATCCGACAAGGGCCGCGACGTCCTCGCCGGCGGCCGATGGCAAGCCAGGAATGAAAAAGAAGAAGAAAAAAAAATTCTTTTTCATTTCTAATTCTTGGTCCCAGATAGCTTCTTGATTCTGTTCCAAAACTAATTTTGGGAACAAATTTTTGCAAATTTGTGCCCGGTAACAAAAAATTTACCAAACGGATTTCTGTTTCAAAACTGATTCTTAGAACAAAAGAACAGAAATAGTTACTATTTAATAAATTGCCAAACACGTCTTGAGTTGCTAAAGCCCGCCGTCGGAAAACTCTTCCTCCCAATTGGATCACTTACCCCTCGTGGCCTTTTTGGAGTATCCGGTGTTCATAAACTCTTATGTTTTGTCCCCGTATTTCTCGTGAATGAATAAATATTTTGTTTCCCCACGGCAACATTTTCTTTTTAAGGAAATCAACACTGTCGAGGGGTTTTCCATGGGAGGAGGGGCTTGCGAGGTTGGGCTTGGAGACATCTTGCACTGCCTTTTGTCATTATACGTGGATGAAATTACTTGCCTTTAAGCCAAGTCACTACTCATAGTGAGATTTTGTTGAACTAATTGTTCTAAAAGTTTAAATTATTAGATAAAATCGTGGTTAGTTAAATATTTTAACACTCTCCCTCGTGCGTAGGCTAGACTTTAGCCTCGGCGTAGAAATATGTAATTGGAGAGGCAAATAGAGGCCTATAAGATTTGAAATTAGGACTGCTCTTATACCATGTGAGATCTTGTAGGATCATTTTAACTAACTGTTTTAAAAACTTAACCTGTTAGATGAGCGCGTAATTTATTATTTAAATATTTTAACACTTGATTGATGAACATTACAAACTTTGCAAGATTGCAATGTGAACATTATATGCTATAATTTAATCTATTGTTGTAAAAGTTATCTTTAACTTTTGCGATCCTATAAGCTCTCCTCTCCCACAATTTCATGCCTATTCGAGTTATTGACCTCAAGAAAAATGAAATTTTTTAGTTCAATCTTTACGAGATCAATTTTTGAAAACGAGGAATTATCAAGTACATGACAACTCGCAAACTATGAAAATGTTGATGTTACGATACATTGTTGCCATTTTGACATAATCGTGACATCAAATTACAATTGTTTGCACAATTGTGCACGTATTATGCAACATATGATTGTGCACGTATATTGCATGATTGTGCATATATTGATTGAAATACTATCGTAGAATATACTAAAGTCTATAAATAGGCTAATGTATTCTTGTTTAAAATACATCAAAATATATACAAATTCAACAATTCTCTCTCGTTCATTGATTGAGTGACTAATTGATATTTGAAATGTGATGCATCCTTTGTTCGAGGGATGCAAGGATAAACCTGTCCCTCCCCGAAGCCGGCTTCAACGTCTTCTTCCGAGCATGGTGGAGCTCCAATGTCCGGGATCGTCTCTTGCGCTCATACCATGACAATTGCAACGTACTCCCTCAAAGGGGAGAAAAGATGGTTTGATCTCCAAAGAATCATCATCCTACTGCCGAATCAAAACCTCTCCGAAATCGTCTCTCTTTTCAACACCAAGGGCCTCTCAACACGAGACACGGTGGCCATGTCCGGGGCCACACCATTAGCTTCTCCCACCGCAAGGCGTTCACATCTACAACTCAAGCAAAACTTCCAATACGGACCCAACCGTGGACCTTCGCCCGCAGCCTACACGCCACTTGCCCGTCGAAAGACTTCGGGTTTTACGGTCAACGATGTCACATCGTCGTTCTGGTTCGACAACCTCTCGAGAGAGACTATGAGATCTTCAGCTTCTAAGATCGGAAGTAACGGTGAGATTAGGCGTGAGTGTGGGTCTATGGGTTTATGAGGACCCACAAATGAGAGTTGAGAATTAAGATGGAAGGGAGAGGAATGTAACATTTTGTCGATTACTAGAATGAAAATTCTAGTTTTAATTGATTTCATACGTTCCAATTATCTGCGGTTCTTTCGTTTACAAATATAAGAAGGTTCTTATCAACAATTAAAGGACCTTTAAATTTTCGGCTCTACAAATTGATTACTGTAATAAAAATTTTGAACGGCTTTTTATTTCTTTGAAGAGTTAAGTATCAATATCTCGATTGGTTATACCAAATGCCATCAAAAGTTAATTTTAAGAACTAGCGAAGGGATTTAACTAAATTATGTTTGTACATCTATTTGCCACTGGAGAATCTTCAAAGAAAAAAAAATTTAAATTATAAATTCTCCATGGTTGATAGCTTTTCAAATGAATATTGACTTTAATAAGTATTTTTTTGTTGGGAAATAACTTTTTTTTTTGTCGATTTTCGGAAATAACTTCAATAAGTGAAGAAAGAACTTTTACATTGTGATTAGTAATTTGGGTTACTACCACGGAAAACCCAAAACTAGTACAAATTTACTACAAATGAATTTTTTGACCTCCAAAAACTCCAAACTTGTACATTTGTGATA